TATGACAGTCATATTAGTTTCATGCACTGTCTTTAAAATAAAGTGTTACTCTTTAACTTCATGGTGAAGGAAGTGTGTCTAATCTTCTCTGCAAAATTGTTTAATTTCAGTCTCCTCAAATAGTTTTTTAGATTAAGCATTCTCTCTGAGGTCATGCTACAAAATGTTAATTTTGTAGACAAAAAAAGAAAATCATCTGTGTAGTTATAACATGAGTTAGTGGGAGCATATAGATATTAAATAGGAGGGGCCCCAAGATGGAATCCTGGAGAAAACACCACATGTGATTTTTGTCACCTCTGATGAAACGTTTCCTATTAACACTGTGACAGCTGACCTTACTGTCACACAGAGATCTGAATGGCAATCTTTTTCTGTCCATCCTTAACATTAGTTTACATATTGATTAGTGAAGTTTAGATTTTGTATTTTTAAAATTATCATTAGTTAACTCTTTAGTTAACTATTTGCAGTGAACACATTCAGTTAACTTCACAGCAAAAACTAGAGAGTTAAAATTTCAGGGTTAGACGTGTCAGAGTTAATTTTAACTCATTAAGTGTTTTTTTTACATTTAGCGATTTAAATGATGCCCAATGTTGGAGTTATTTCGCAAAGTTGATTGCGTTGGTGTTGAATCAAATCTGCTGGGAGTAAAATAAGCTCCTCCCCTCTGCTTCACAGTCTTCGTTTGATTTCAATCTGAACACGGCTCCATTTTGTTCATCTCCTGTTCTACACGGTAAGTGTCCAACTTACTAAATCTTTTGTCCAGCACTATTACATTGACAGAGTAAGTGATGTTTTTGTACCAATTACCAATTGAAAGGCAGCTGAATATGTCCATTTTGTAACAACTTTACACAACGTGTTAGCTAGCAGCCCACGTGGTAGCTAGTACCACCACACCTGATATTGTTGTAATGGTAATTAATTACAACAATATCAGGTGTAAAACATATTCTGTCGAACTATATACTCGTGAAAAATATACTTCCATGTTGTTTGCCGTTTAAAATGATAATTTCGGCCTTGTGAATGTAAGAGGTAATAACTATTAGCTTCCATGGACCGTCAATGAGCCGAAGTCACGTGCCACAAATTGTGGAGAAACGTTGCACTGAGGGGAACGCTTGACCTATACCTTATTTTGTTTTGTCTAGGTTTATCCCAAAATGCTGATCCATGTAAAGTATGGTGACCTGCAAAAGTATGTGAGGTTGGAGGAGGTCGAAGGGCTGTTTGACTTTCATCAGTTTCACGAGAAAGGTTAATTATTTATTTAACATCTGTGGGGCATGGGCATTATTCTTTTTAATGTATGTCTATTTAACACATTTTACACATCTGTGGTAAGCAAAAAGAGTAATCCATTGTATTTTCATTAATATGTTTTTCATACTAATCACATGATCAACATCAAGTAACTGTTAGTTAAAAAATCTGGCTAATTACAGAATTAGGCTCTAAATTTTGCCTCTTTTTTTTTAAGTCATTGAACGATTTTGCCTGCCACCTGATGCCAAAGTTACATACAAAGATGCAACAAATACTGAAGTTGACGAAGAAATATTCAGTGATCTCCTTAGACAAGGCAGTGTGGTACTGACAGTTTTCTGCTATGATGATGGTGAGATGCCAAAGCAAATTAAATCAACTGCTATACAGATTTTACCAAGGAATGTAACTGATGTCTATTGTCTCTTTCTTCAGAAAGGTCATCTGCTTCTGAGTCTGACTCAAGCTTCAAGTCGAATGCATCAACATCAACAATACTAATGGATGAGATACCACGCAAGAAGCAAAAAACTGAGAATCCTAATAACTCAGTGTCTGCTAAGAGTGTAAAAATATTTTTTGTCTGCCTCTAAATCCTGTTTTGTATACCCAGACATGTTTTGTCATATTTTGGTAATCTGCATATTGCATATTTACATTTTTTTTTCTATTATTCATTTCATAGCTGGTTGAAGGTGTCCTACAAAGCAACTCTGGTGGTGACGAAATTCTGCAGGAGTATGAAACTACAGAAACCCTAACTGACGCCACAAGAAGAAAATTGGTCAACATACTGGTGGCTCACATGATTGATAAACATGGGTATGTTGGTTTTTACACTATCATGTATTTAATAATTGAAAAAATTGTCTAATCACCTATTTAAAATCTGCTGTTAGGCANACAGCTTGATGGGAATGCCTGCCAGGAGGCCATATCTCTGCTTAACCACACCACAGACAGGTCCGTGATCTTTCAGAAGATGAGAGAGACTTTTGAGCACCGTCACAAGCTTATTGAACATGCCAGTGAAAGAACTGATATTCTGAGAACGTTCCCGAGGTTCCTGGACACAAAAGGATTGGTAAGTATTCAAGTGAGTTGTTAAAGACTTTAAATGTGGATTTTTACCTTGTTATAATGGTTTGATTTCTGCTTGTTATTAAAGATTGATCAAGACTTCAGGCTTCTATTCAGTGAAGAAACCTCAACCAGACTGCTGGAGAAGTGGAATGTGTTCTTCAAACCAAATGTCATCAAGGAGGCTAAGCGTCTCACTTCTACACCTGAGTTGAGAAGTTTGATGCAGTCAGCGGAAAGTCTTCAAAGCGATGACCTCGCTAACACATCTAGTAAGTACCTAGGTATATCTGAAAATACTTGTTCAGAGTACTCATAAAGTTCTGATATTATATCTGAAAAATTTTATAAATTTGTCCTCAGGCTATGACCAAGAAATGGCCTCGCTGTTACTTCTCTTACATCTCCTACCACCGCAGCCAGGAGGACAGAAGTCTCCAAAAATCAGTGCAAGTGATGCAGTTGAGAGACTTGTTGTCTTTCATAAGGTAATTGAAATTTAAAATATGCAAAGTAATTTGTCTATTTCCTTTTATAGACATGCATAAATACAGATGTTTAAATGACAGCTTTGAAGATGTCTGGGGATACTTTAATTAATTTTTTATGTAACATGTATCATAAAGCTGCATGTTTTGTTTCTTATGTTTAGTGTATATCTTTCTAATTTTAGTCATGCTGCAGTTTGGACGAGCATCTCCGGGGTCAACAGGGTTTGCAGCCCTACCTCCTTGCTGTTGGGCGTCAGAAAAGCAAGATAGAGAACTTCTACATCGTCTTGGATAAGTCCCTCATCCCTTGCCAGACGAATGGCTCTCTTGGAGCATTTGATGAGCTATTCAAAGCACATTTTGTGTTTAATGTCTCTTATGATGCTGCATTGATGAATTTCTACACATTTCTGCAGACAACAGTGTATAACATGATGTGTGCAAAATGAAAGAATCGCCCAGAGTTAGGGACATGAGAGCAAGGCTGCTAAACCAGTCCCTTGTGCTCTCTTGTGAGTAAGTCAGGCTAAGAAATGTTGACCTGTTTTATGTGTCAAGAACTGTATCCAAGCAGCCAGAATTTGATCTCACATTTGAGAATTGACCATAGTTATTGTCCTGGACC